TCCAACAGCGGTCAAAATGGACTACTCCTCGCCGGAACTTCATCGTCGGCGATGTGGTCGTCCTCCTCGACGCTACACTTCTGCAGTCCAGCGGCCGATGGCCGATCGGCCGTGTCATCAGCGTCCACCCGGGAGCCGACGGCTTTGTCCGCGCTGCTACCCTCAAGACGGCGACTGGCGTGTACAAGCGATCCATCACCAAGATGGTCTTGCTGCCTGTGTCAGCGCCTCCCGCGGCTCCGCCGCCTCCAGAAGACTCCCTGACCGACCCCGGTTTGGCGGGCGGCACGTAGTTCTTCGATCCAGGATCGAGGCGGGCGGATTGTTTGGTTTCGCGCCCGAGCGCAACAGCCGAGCGAGGCGCTGCGTGCACTTCCGCCACGCTCACGGGCTTCCACCTTGCCGGGAGCCGCCTCTGCGTACGGGCACTTGAGCACTGCTCTCCGAGACGACCAGACGCTTGTCCCGCTCACACTCACGACGCCTCTCACGCTGTAATCAACCCGCTTGTACAATATCAAATAAAGTGTTTTACCAAACATGACCAATAGGTGTTATACGATCATATCAGTATTGAATGTAAACGGTGGAAACAGAGACGTGCGCAGAACGTGAAAAATTTATCGGTCTGAAGAATACATTTTTTTTTTTTTTTTGTATGATGGATAAATTTGTAGTGAGAAAGAAAAGGAAGCACGAAGATAGTGTAGATGAAGCTGTTGGGCAACATAATGAGGAAAAGGAATCCTTAGTAACAGAATCGACCGACAGTGAAGCCATTATTGAACACATTGAGCCAGTTCAGTCAGTTGATGCAGAAAATTGTAAGAACACTATGAAATAACTAAAATTTCTATAGTTTTTTAAGTTTTATTTTTCAAAGCGGAGAAAAATATCAAATAAGTATACGATATTTTTACTTCTTAGCTCTCAGCTGTCATAGAAAGACACATACACATACCTCAGAGAGTGTCTGTGTATATGTGTATGTGCAGCATGTGTGTGTGTGTGTTGATGTGTACATAGATGGATAAAAATTTTGTTTTTACCGCTATTTCATAGGCTCAGGGTGAATTTCATCTCAATTAAAATTCATCTTAAATTCACAATAATTTTTACCGCCATTATTTGTCATGGTAATTCTTTAATGTATACATAAATATACAGTCAAACACACATTGAGCCAGCAGCCGATCAGCTGACTCGAGAACATATCGTCGCCTAGGAGGAAGAAGGTACTAGGTTTGTTCATAGTCCGAAATCCGGCGACCCCGGGCGACCCACGGCAGCCCACGCTGACCCAAGTTTGACGAAAGAACGAGCGTTCTTTGTTTGAGTTCAGGCGACCGCAGACGAGAATCAGCTGATATATATATAGATGTATGAGAACGTGTGATTTGTCAGTCTGAAAACACAACAAACAGCAGAGTATGTACAGGAGGGAGGAGGGACGTTAAAAGGAAAGTCTCTAGCCAATCAGGAACCTGAGTGGCCAGCTGATTCTCGCCTGCGGTCGCCCGAACTCAACCAAAGAACGCTCGTTCTTTCGTCAAACTTGGGATAGCGTGGGCTGCCGTGGGTCGCCCGGGGTCGCCGGATTTCGGACTATGAACAAACCTAGTACCTTCTTCCTCCTAGGCGACGATATGTTCTCGAGTNTAGGTAGTTATAGCTATAATTATAGCTATAATTTATAGGTATAATTATAGCTATAAATTTTTAACTGAGACAAGGTATAAATTCAGCTCAAAAATTTTATAAAATTATGATTTGGATTTGTATAGAAATTTATGTTCTTCCAGGTGGGTGGTACGAATTAAATCGTTAAAAACTGTGAAAGAAAATTACGCTCCACTCATGCAATTTTTTTATGATCGGTCAATCGATAGAGAAGTTGACAGTTCGATATCAGCAAAAGCCTCAGGATTTTTTAATTATTAAATGGGATCATTTGAGTGTATTTTTTATTTGACCTTGATGATTGAAATTTTTGACCATGTCAAAATCTTAAATAAAGAATTGCAAAAATCAGAGTTATGCGTGATCGAGTCATACGAAAAAATTGAAGCTGTGACTTACCTTTTGAACGCTTCTCGCGATTCAAAATTCAAAGAAATCTGGCAATTGAGTGTCAAAATTGCTGTTGAGCTTTCACTTGACGAGCCTACACTTCCACGTCAACATAAAATTCATAAACGTCTCGATCAAGGAAAATGTGACACATTTAAATTCAACACACCTGAAGATTTTTTCAGAAAATCGTATTTCGAAATTTTTGATCAGTTAATAGCATCTTTAAATTCACAATAATTTTTACCGCTATTATTTGTCATGGTAATTCTTTAATGTATACATAAATATACAGTCAAACACACATTGAGCCAGCAGCCGATCAGCTGACTCGAGAACATATCGTCGCCTAGGAGGAAGAAGGTACTAGGTTTGTTCATAGTCCGAAATCCGGCGACCCCGGGCGACCCACGGCAGCCCACGCTGACCCAAGTTTGACGAAAGAACGAGCGTTCTTTGTTTGAGTTCAGGCGACCGCAGACGAGAATCAGCTGATATATATATAGATGTATGAGAACGTGTGATTTGTCAGTCTGAAAACACAACAAACAGCAGAGTATGTACAGGAGGGAGGAGGGACGTTAAAAGGAAAGTCTCTAGCCAATCAGGAACCTGAGTGGCCAGCTGATTCTCGCCTGCGGTCGCCCGAACTCAACCAAAGAACGCTCGTTCTTTCGTCAAACTTGGGATAGCGTGGGCTGCCGTGGGTCGCCCGGGGTCGCCGGATTTCGGACCATGAACAAACCTACTATCTCGGCTGAACGATATATAAGGTACTATCTCCATTTGCTTATACATTGAGATAGTAAGTTTTAAATCGCTCAGCCGAGATAATACCTTCTTCCTCACAGGGGCCGTATTCAGCGAGCCGTATCGTACTCGATACAGTTCATACTCTCAGCGTTGACAGAATCCCATATTATTTTAAACGTGCGACGTGAAAACTCTGTCAACGTTGAGAGTATGAACTGTATCGAGTACGATACAGCTCTTTGAATTAGGCCCCAGGTGACGATGTGTGACATGCAGTCATGCGGCCATAGTTATCAAGATATGAGAGGAAAACGCAAAAAGGGAGGAGGAGGAGGGTAGACCGGACAACAGATTCTACTCGGCGTTACTCGGAGGGCTCTAAAAGGCTTCGGACGAGTCTGAGCTCTTCCCCCGAACATGTGTTTTTCCTCCGAGGAACTCCGAATTCATCAGAATTACGCCTAACGATTAATTTTGTAATTTTTTTATTGATTTCGTCCGTATTGTTGTATTAGACAATAAATTAGGACAGTAAATTTATTTACGAGTCTTAAAACTAGTTTAAATGTACAAAATAACTTGTTAAAAAGTGCAATAAAAGTACGGTTACGTTGGCTAGTTTACGATTGATGCACGGAGATCTCGGATAAACCAATATTGTACAAAGCAAGCGTTAGGTCATAGGCAAACAAGCCAGTTTTACTATACTTGCCTCTGTTTGCCGCAGACAACTTTGCTCACTATAATAGGGCCTAAGGGTAGTAAGGGTGGGGGTATCTNAATAGTGTTGCAAATAAGTGTCCTGAATCATCAGGAAAAAGGTGATTGACATATTTATTAATAATTATTTATTTACTAGATTTGCAATTAGCGCCCCAGGTTATATGGTGATAAGTGCTTGTGTTATTAAAAATTGTTTATTTAACAGAGTGGCCAGTTAGCGCCCTGGGTCATTGGGTGATAGGCCTTGTGTTATTAATATTACAACTTTGAATTTCCGCGTGTCTTTGGCAATGCCCCTTCACTGCTGTGCTGTCTGCTCGACAGAACATTCTCCCTCGATCGTATAGCTATATATACGATCTAGGGAAAAAGTTCCGATATCGAATCTGCCTAACCCGACGCTGAGGCCGAAAAGACTGATAGAAACAATGGAGGCCAACTTGGTCCAAGAAAGTCGTGTAAAAGACGTCAGCATTGCGGGCTTAGCTCTCGGGGAAGAAGTAACAAAAGACCTAATTTTTGAGAACGGTGATACTGAAACGTCAGGAAATAATGCCATTTATGCGGAAGATCTAGTTTACCACTCTTTGCTGGCAGAAATAAATAAAGATCCAGCTTCATATAAAGAAGCAATGAAGGCTGTGGATAAAGAAGGCTGGNGAAAGATATGTAGCGGTTAATTTACTGTTAACAATTATACTGTTTGGCTTTGGGCATTCTTACGAATGAAATCTACAAATAGAAATACAATTGTTACAAGTCTTTCTAATTACTCATTTATTCATTTTCACTACACTTTTATAATAAATCAGTAACAAATACTTACAGCTTTATCACAAAAACATTGATACACGAACGCTGTCGTAACCGACGCAGCACGCAGCAGACGAGCAGACAGTGTAGAGTGTGCAGAGACACCTGATGCGTGTACATGAACACTCACACATTTAAGACCCGTACGACGTTGCCAAATCTTCATTCATCGCTGGTTTCCCCTCACCGCGCAAATGTTTCCCCCCGCTAACACTACCGAACGTCCTTAAACGTGCGACGTGAAAATTCTGTCAACGTTGAGAGTATGAACTGTATCGAGTACGATACAGCTCTTTGAATTAGGCCCCAGGTGACGATGTGTGACATGCAGTCATGCGGCCATAGTTATCAAGATATGAGAGGAAAACGCAAAAAGGGAGGAGGAGGAGGGTAGACCGGACAACAGATTCTACTCGGCGTTACTCGGAGGGCTCTAAAAGGCTTCGGACGAGTCTGAGCTCTTCCCCCGAACATGTGTTTTTCCTCCGAGGAACTCCGAATTCATCAGAATTACGCCTAACGATTAATTTTGTAATTTTTTTATTGATTTCGTCCGTATTGTTGTATTAGACAATAAATTAGGACAGTAAATTTATTTACGAGTCTTAAAACTAGTTTAAATGTACAAAATAACTTGTTAAAAAGTGCAATAAAAGTACGGTTACGTTGGCTAGTTTACGATTGATGCACGGAGATCTCGGATAAACCAATATTGTACAAAGCAAGCGTTAGGTCATAGGCAAACAAGCCAGTTTTACTATACTTGCCTCTGTTTGCCGCAGACAACTTTGCTCACTATAATAGGGCCTAAGGGTAGTAAGGGTGGGGGTATCTCGAGCTTAGGATCGGCTAGACAAAGTCGTCGTTGCAAGTAGGCGAGCTAATCTCGCCAGATACACTCACACACTTACACACACACTTAGCAAACAATTGCATGGTGCACGTACGATCTGTTGAAAGGCTTTCGGGAAGTCCGAGTTGAAAATGTCAGTGCGAGTGACGAAGAGGCAAGCGAATAAATGGGCCATCCTATAAAATCTCGACTGAAAATCTTCATTCAGTCTGATACGTATTATATACATGTGCACGTTTTCTCTCTCGTTCGCTTGGCTTTTCGTGGCATACAAATTACTAGTCAAGTCATAAATTGCCTGAATCGCGTTCTTAAACGTAATCGCTCAGATATATAGCACAGCTTATTAAAATTTAACCTATGTTATTTGTATGTTTTTTTTTCTAGCTTTACTTTTTTTTAGTTTTTTATTATTTTTTTTTTTTTTTTTAGCTAACGCCTCGTCGGTGCCTAAGGCTTTTAGAAACTGGGAGAAACAGCACCCGTGGCTGAAACTAAATACAAGTAATAAAGCTTTTTGCACAATAATATATGTACAGAAGCGTGTAAACAAAAATTAATCATTAATTTTAATTCAAGAACAATTAAATCGATGCTAGCCTGGGTTGACGAGGGATTTTTAGATTGGAAGCATGGATTAAGAGGAATAGAGAAGCACGAAGTTAGCACTTTACATATCAACTGTGCAGAGGCACTAGCCAATGTTAAAACTGCTAACATTGTACCATCAATATCATCGGCTAAATCCAAACAGATGATGAATGATCGGGTTGCTTTGTTGAAAATTTTCAGTACACTAAAAACACTAGTTAGGCAAGGTATTCCAATCCGAGGAGCCAACAATGACGAAAACTCCAATTTAATGGCATTTATCCGTACTCGAGCAGAAGATGTCGTAGAGTTGAAATGTTGATTACAACGGGAAGGTCACAAGTGGCTTCACCATCAAAGTCAAAACGAAATTCTGGAGCTGATGGCTTCCACTGTGTTATCAAAAATCATGGATGAGATAAGAGCAGTGGAATACTTTTTGTTGTCATTAGATGAAACTTCGGATGTTTCCCGAAGTGAGCAAGTTTCTATTTGCCTCAGAATTGTTTCTGATGACCTAAGCGCCAAAAAATATTTTATTGGATCTTTTAGTACAAAAAATACTTCTGCCGAAACTTTATTTGACCTTGTTAAAAAAATTTTAATGCGATATGATTTGCCAATCTCAAAACTGAGAGGGCAATGTTATGATGGGGCATCAAATGTTTCTGGTAAAATTTTCGGCTTACAGTCGCAAATACGCCAAGAAGAGCCTCAAGCGTTATTCGTGCACTGTAATGCACACAATCCTAATCTTGTCGTTCAAGATAGTGTAGAAAAAATTTTATTTGCCAGAAAGTTCATCAGAACATTAAAAAATTTGATCAATTTTGTTCGTGACTCAACCAAGCATATTGCACAATTTAAAGATTTGCAAATTGAAGCAGAAAAAGAAAACGATAGCAGTTTACCTTCTCTTGCAGCGTACTGCCCAACAAGGTATGAATTCAGCTTAAAAATTTCAAAAAATTATGATTTGGATTTGTATAGAAATTTATGTTCTTCCAGGTGGGTGGTACGAATTAAATCGTTAAAAACTGTGAAAGAAAATTACGCTCCACTCATGCAATTTTTTTATGATCGGTCAATCGATAGAGAAGTCGACAGTTCGATATCAGCAAAAGCCTCAGGATTTTTTAATTATATGGGATCATTTGAGTGTATTTTTTATTTGACCTTGATGATTGAAATTTTTGACCATGTCAAAATCTTAAATAAAGAATTGCAAAAATCAGAGTTATGCGTGATCGAGTCATACGAAAAAATTGAAGCTGTGACTTACCTTTTGAACGCTTCTCGCGATTCAAAATTCAAAGAAATCTGGCAATTGAGTGTCAAAATTGCTGTTGAGCTTTCACTTGACGAGCCTACACTTCCACGTCAACATAAAATTCATAAACGTCTCGATCAAGGAAAATGTGACACATTTAAATTCAACACACCTGAAGATTTTTTCAGAAAATCGTATTTCGAAATTTTTGATCAGTTAATAGCATTTTTAGAAAGTTGTTTTGATAACGATTCAGCCAGATTTTTTTAAATGATGGCAAAGTTCATTTTGGGACACTCAACAGATATAGATTATACAGCGATAATTAAATTTTACAAAAAAGATTTCGATAAAGATAAGTTGTTAAAAGATAGAGACATGTTTTTGGAATTGGTAACAAGAAAGCATGAGCAGATAAAAAATTTGAGGGGTGTAGTGTAGTGGAGTTTTTGAAAAAGAATTATTGGTTGAAGGGACTCATAGAAGAGTTTGTGCACTTCGTTCGTTTGACTGTTACGATTCCAGGGTCTTCGTGTTCAAATGAACGAAGTTTTTCTGTTTTACGAAGACTTAAAAATTATTTAAGGTCGACATTGTTGCAGGATAGACTTAATCACATTGCTTTGTTACACATTTACAATACAATGACTGATTAACTTAATTTAGAAGTACTTGTAAATGAATTTATTTCGTGAAATGCAAAACGCCACTCAGTTTTTGCGTTAGGCAAATGATAATCATAATTAATAATTATTTGTTATAAGACTGTTGAAATTTTATAAATAAAAAGAGTTTAACTTATCTGTTTTGTATCTTATCAAATGCTTTTATTTATCCATCTTTTTTCATGTAACATCAATTTTCTGAAGAGGCCTTCTGAAGAACGTACGTTAGATCAATTAAAAAACAGAGATGCTTTGGTTACGGAGTTGGTTCGCTTGGATTTTAGGATACCTTGGGTTATGCGGGGGTCGTTTGCTTGGGGTTTATAACGCTCTTGGTTATGTGGGGTTAGTTTGTTTGGGTTTTAAAACGCCCTCAGTTAGTTGGGTTATTGGGTTATATGTCCCCTTAACTACCCACTCGAGTTTAAAACCATCTGCCGGCCCTGTACCAAATTACTGTCATTTTTGCTTAATGAGGAAAAGAATAACAGCATTTTGTCAAATTTACAGATGTTAATAATACATGGTAAAAGTAAAAATGATTTTAATAGTAAAAAATATCTTAAGGTATTGAAATTATTGAAAAGGATAAAATTACAATCAAGACGTAATTGTCTTTGTTATATTTATTTGCTACGTGTATTATATTGCATTTTTATGAATATATTTAATCCATAACAATAATTATATTATAAAAAAAATGCTATTCAGGTAACACTAAACGAGAAAATAAGTTTACACGAATCCGTTATATCATGCTCCTATCAGAAGAAACCGTTTATGTCAGTCGACTATCTGCAGTGTCGATAAAAATTAGATCTACTGTAGGGGTGTCAATTATGAGAAAGTATGAAAGTAGGAAAAGATACAATTTTCCGTATTTGATGTTAAATTAGATTACGTAGTATTTGAATGATCCTGAACCCTCCCATCACATAATCAACATTAAAAAAATAACATACTCCCCTTCCCCCAAGGTATTTACGTAAATAATAGATAGCCCCTATATATACCGAAGTTTGCCACCACTCTGTTTTCGAGCATATTTTTTCGGCTAGTACTGTAACTGTAAGTCTAATTTTGCCATAAATGTTATTTTCTTTTGACAACTTTTCATCCTCTATCCATTTCACCAGGTGGCGACTATTGTACCGTTTGACACCCTGTGACTTTTTTCAATACAACCTAACTCGTTATCAATTATAGATATTGCAAAAATACTTTCGAGATCCACGAATATGAGTTTTTTCAATATTTGACAAATCTGCGGCGATTTCGCAAACAACCCACCCACTCGACCCCAGCTCTTAGTCTAGCATGATACGGCTCATACGACATACGGCCCGTATCGCCCGTATTCGTATTGGCCGTATTATGTAACTATTCTTCTGTACACCCAAGTGTAAGTGTAATTAATTTTCTCCAGGTAGTAAATATATTTACTAAAAAAGAAGGGGGTGGGTTCTCAAAATATTACTGTAGTTTATGTGAGGACAAGGAGAGGTCAAAAATAAGAAAAAACGGGCTTACGTAATTAATGAACAGCCCCATTGGAGTGCTATTTTATTAATGCACGACGCTTGTCACATCAACTGACTGACGCCAAAAAGATAATTTACACTTTATATAAATGCCGAAAATTGTCGCTACTCGAGCATACATTATAGTTAAAAAACGTTTGGTGAAGTGGCGGCTGTTCCGGCATTTGTACGGGGGGTGTCCAAGCTTAAAGGTCGATTTTCGGCTAGTATTGTAACTGTAAGTCTAATTTTGCCGCTAATGTAATTTTCTTTTGACGACTTTTAATACTCCATCTATTACACCAGTTGGCGGCTATTTTGTCGTTTGACACCCTAGGACTTTTTTCAAAACAACCTAACTCGTTATCAATAACAAATATCACAAAAATACTTCAGATCTCCACGACTCATGAGTTTTCTCAATAATTGAAAAACTAAGGGCAATTTCGCAATTTACATACCCACTTGACTCCAGCTCTTAATCTATATATCGGCCCCAGGACAACGGGATGGATGTGATGAGCAACGAGAGTACGAAACACATTACGAACGTACCAGGTAGTATGGGGGCCAAGAAGGTTCCAGTCACCTTTTTAATTAGGACGGACCCACCAAGATTACTTTAATGTATTTTTGTATGCTTAACTCTATTATCGATGGTCTGTCGCTGTCTGAGTGGTATATTTTTTGTTATTATCAAATTTTAACAACTAATGCAAAAATTTTATAGTTCCAGTAAACCAAAAATTTTTTCTAATTCTTTAGCACATTTTGAACAGAAAATCAATTAGGTGTATATACCCAAATCCAACAGATTTTCAGTAAAAAATCCCTCAAATTTGAAAAACATGTTTTATGCGATTTTTTATCACGCTGTTTGTGCAATAATTTCAACTTGCCTGGGCTTAAATTTTAACTAAAAGCATGTATTCATAGATAAAAAAATTCGTTAACTTTAGTTGCTTTCCAACGGCGATATCGCTGATCTGCAAACGGTCGTTTTCATAGCCTACTGTGTATTTAAATACAAAAGCTATACCTAAAACATGTATACGCTTCCTGCAGCAATTTGAAACAGTGCCACCTGCAGCAGAAAAGACGTCGCTATTTATTTCTTGTGGGGACTCTCTCACACACATGTACACTTCGGCTCTCTGTCCTTCTCCAACCATCCGCTAGGTTTCTAACCATTGAACTCTACTTTCTCGCAAGTGCCCGGATTTCATGTTGGTTAATATATATGGGCGTTTAAGATTGAGCTAGGGTATCCCCACCGATATAGGTGTCTAAGGCAGGGAGCACGTCATCAGCCTTACTGATGAGTCCTGGCGTGCTCCCGGGACGAAACATCAAATAATCTTTTCTCTCTCAAGTAGATGACTACATTTTCCTACATTCTTAGCTACAGCACGCCATCTATGCAGAGTTTGCTGATCGGAGCGTAGGGACACCTCATGCTCATATCTTACCGGTAGGTAGCCTAAGGTAGGTCGGTCTTCTGATTGCTCGAGTAGTCTATCTATGGGTGTTTTCCGCAATCGTCACCAGCAAGTAATTTAAGGTTGCGCTCTACGTTACCGTCAGGTCGGTAAGTCAACTACCTTGAATTAAACTGGCGTTCTGTTCCGTAATCTGGCCAGTTAAAACAGCAGACGACAGTCAACAGCGATGAAATCTTCACTTTTTTCTCGACTTTCACGTCGTCTGCTGTTTTAACTGGCCAGATTACGGAATAGAGCGCCTGTTTGATTCAAGGTAGTTGGCTTACTGACCTGACGGTAACGTAGAGCGCAACCTTAAATTACTTGCTGGTGACGATTGCGGAAAACACCCTATATGAATATATGGTAAGTATATGGATATACTTCTTTTATCAATCGACCTACCGAACGTTAAAAAAACGCTGCCAATGTATAAATATATATACTTTTTGAAAACATTACACTGAAAGCCTAAGTCCGCAGTCACATGGAGTGCAATAGAGCGAGCAGGATAGGAATTTCTCCATAAGCGGCTGTGTTATTATAGGGCTATCCTGCAGCGCAATAGACTTGACACAGTCGCTTATGCAGAAATTCTTATCCTGCTCGCTCTATTGCGCTCCATGTGATTGCGGCCTAACTGTTTTTAAAAATTATTATAGACAGCCTGCTGCCAGTAGAGGTAGAGGTGCTGCTGGTCATAGTCAAGATGATGACCTAGTATGTACAAGTATACATATAGATGCTTATTGTGATAATTTAATATGTATGCATAAAATATATATGATAGAAAGTCCAGAACATGGCGATAACCCTGTTTTTTACTGTGACCAGCAGCGCCTCTACTGGCCACAGGCTGTCTGCGATACAACCTGATAAAATTATGATTTATGGCTGTATACGCAAAGCTTATGCCAAAAAAAAAAAGTAATGAATGAATCATTAGTTAATGATGATATTTATATCGGTAAATGTTAAACACAATTCTTGACTACCTGCCAAACAACAAAATAATGGCTTATTGTCTATCGGAATTGATTCAAGTACAGTTAGTATGATGAAAATAAAATGAGAAATACTAATCAAACAAAACCTTCTCCTTAAAATAAAAATGGCTTCAATAATTAAGTTATTTATTCAAAATTTTATCAGTCTAAGTTAATCACGTAGTTTGTTCAAAACAAAAAATTAGAAAACAGAAGTCTGAATAATAATAAAAAAAAGTTAAACTGTAATTTAATTTAATAAAATTATAAGTTATTTGTTTAAAGAAAAGTAATACAACTCTGATTTAAACAATATAAAAAAACAAAAATGTTTAATTAAACTTCAGAGGTGACCAGGCAAAGCGTGCAGAGGCTGAGCTTAGTAAATTATGAAATAAAATAAAATAAAAAGAATTTCGCTAATATGTGTGTGTGTAGAATGTATGCGCACACACACACACACATATATATATATCTACACTAACTTTTCAACACTAATCCATCTGATTTTGATATTGCAACAAAAAAATTGTTATTGAAAAGAGTATCCAGTAAGCGCCCTGGGACAGCTGGTGATTGGCGCTTGTATTATTAATCAAAATTTCATTTTTAAACATATAGTGACCAACTGACCAGTATAAACGCCCTGGATCATTGGGTTATAGGCTCTTGCGTTATACAATTTATTATTTATTAGAGTGGCCAGTAAGTGCCTGGGTTATTGGGTTAATGTATTAATTTACAGTTACAAAAAGTAAGTTGAGATTCACATCACCTACCTGTTACACGCAACGAGTATGTTATTTTTATGTAACAAATTGTAGTATATTTTATTATAGTAAAAAATTCTTAATTAGTATTGAAAGATAATGCTGGAAACGGAATTGATTCCTAACAGTATGATGTGAAATGTTATTTACTATTTTACATTGACCGCCACTGACATGTGCTATAAATGGCGGCTATCCGCCGCACTGTTCCTTGACCCACTGTAGGGCAGCTTGAGCCAACCCGACGACAAAAAATCACTAAACTATAGGCATGATTCCGATATTTCCGATTCTTGTGGCGCCTGATATTTCTGTCTTTTACTATCCAATAACCAAAAATATCCATATATAGCTTAGCGCCACAGAAATCGGAATCATCCCTGTGTACGCATTAGTCCTGAATATGGCAGAGCCAATCAGGATAAGCTCTCTCATCTGCCATACACTGCCTCTTGATCCTCTGTGTAGAATAACCAAAACACCTTGAAAAAAAAAAAAAAAATAACCCCTAGATGCGATGCATCTAGTTAGCTTAAAAAAATTTATTGTACAACGTTATACGCTTTTCGCTAGTGCTGGTGCTGATCATCACATCAAAAATTGTGATTCACAAATCACAATTTATTAATTTACTTTAGTGTAAGTTACTTCTCATACACACTTTTACACAGGTAGTAAGTTAATTATTTACAGAATCTACATCAATTAGATACTGCACTTTGGCTTTATGTCGTATTCATATATTGTATGTTTATTTGTGTTCATAATTTATTTTTCATCCTAGCTTCGAGCCAACAAGCAAATGATTGTTTAGCATACACAGGTGGAGTATATATATTAAATACATCATCGGATACCATTTAAATATAAAACTTATCAATGAATCACTTTAGCTATTGTCAAATTAGAGGTGTAATGTATACTGTGTAAAACATATGCGTGCATGTACTATTTATTTCTAGCTTATCATATATCTTTGTTTCGACACTTGTTCTTAACTCTGTCAAGTAGTTTTGTATTTTGTTGAGCTTTTAAATATCTTGCTAATGAATTACAGGTACTATCCTTTTGATACTTACAGAATTTTATAAAATAATTGTAACTAAACAAGATAATTATTCTAGTTGTCACAATGTCAAAGTTGTCAGAGAGTAAAAAAATCACAAGGCTGGCTGGCATGCAAGAGATCTCCGAACTAGCTAAGCTCTTAAGGAACAGTGGAGACAAAGTTTTAAGTGCCTCTAGCAAATTATCCCTCTCGACGAAACTGCTTCATGACTTGAATGAAGCGTTTTCAATGATCATCAATGAGACGGATGACTTAGAATGTTCATTCCAAGTGTCTAACAGCTCGCGGAGTGAGGTACGACTGTTTTTGTGCTTATTAACTCTTCAGTTAATATGCATAAATAACTATTTGGTCATATATTTTTGATAGTTGTATTTTTTGTAATTATTTTCATAGATTTTTAGAGATATCAAATTTCTACATGACTTGGTGCAAAAAACGATTGGTCTCAAAATTCAGCACAATCCCATTGATCCCAAATTTGTCGTTGACATTACGAAATTTAGGCATTTAAAGTATCTGGAGTTGCAAAAAATATCTATCAACTCAGTTAAAGGAATTCAAGGAATCAGAAGTCAGTTGGAATGTATTGTCTGCTCTGGTGGACAAAGTGTCAATAATCTTCATGAGTTATTAGGTATGTCAAAAAAATCATGAAACGTTGCTTCTCAAACTATTACGTCAGTTTGCTCGTGTCAAAGTATTTATCATGCTACTCATTCAGTTTCCTGTGGAAGTGATGGAGGAGTAGGCTTTGTCTGGAGCTCCCTTCATCGTTTAGCACTACCTTATAATGCTCTAACAAACTTAGACAAGTCCTTGGAAAACGTTCCATTCTTAGAAACCATTGATCTGAGTCACAATCTCATTACTAGAGCCACCAATTTTGAATTGATACCTAATCTCAAACATGTCAACCTTGGTTACAACTATCTAGAACATGTGCCTCTGTTCAGCAAAACCTCGATACGTACTCTGCAAAAGCTTGTATTAAAAAATAATTACATAGATAACATAGATGGTTTTTGGTTCCTTTTACACTAGCGTTCCTTTTTTTTTTTTTTTTTTTTTAATAATAACCATTATTAAGGTGTTCCTGATCTTATGAGATTTGATGATTAGTAATTCCTTTACAGGCTTAGATAGACTTGAGTACTTAACTGAGCTTGATTTGTCCTACAACTGTTTGACTGAACATGCGATGCTCTGGCCACTGGAAACGATGTCGATGCTAATTTGGCTGTGCTTGAGTGGCAATCCACTTTCTCATCATCCTAGGCACAGGCTTCATACTATTAAGCACTTGCATCCGTCACTCAGTGACAGCAAAGTAATGCTATTTTGCTCTAGTTTTACCCACGAAATTTTATTACTACACTGATGAATTTTACAATTTGAAACGAAATATAACAACTTGATCGATTATTAATTTTACAAAAATTCACACATTTCACCTATTATTTCAAGTTTGTGTTGGATTCGGAACCCCTCAGCAAATCAGAGCGACTCTTCGTTTCGGAGAACCGAGTCTTCTCCCTCCGCACCTCGATGCGCCGCCGCGAGCTTGACTCCACAACTAGCTCCATAAACTCAAGCTGGGACCAAACTTCTTTGCCAAAAAGCCATTATGAGGACATTCACAGCGTCGAGACTCGAGTAATCGAGCCTCTGACCTCGTCTCTACAGCCTAGGGCCGCTGGTCTAAGCAAAAAACGTAGGAGCGTGCGCGAAGCCATCATAGCGGAGGACGAGCTGGACCGTGAGAAGCCAAAATTAAAGCCGGGTTCGCTGAGCAGCTCCTTCCGCGAGATGTCAACGGAGCATTTGGAAACCAAGCGCCAGATCCTTGCGCTGCGAGCCAAATATGGCGAGGAGAACTGGATGAGGGCCCAAGCGGTCAGCCATATACTAGGCCTCAACACTAAACCGGCCATTGGCAAGGACGCTTCAGGTTCAGTATCCTCCTATTCCTCGACTTTCGATCAAGGCGATCGGCTCAGCAAGATCGGTGCTGGTGTCTCGACGATTGTGGCGAGATCCGCGAATGTTGATTGGCAGCAGCAGCAGAGCAGTGAGTTCAAGAGCGAAGAAGTAGGTTGTAGTACTGCAGATGGAACGACGACGCAGAAGAAGACAGAGTACGAGAGCATGGACGAAGGCATTGTTATTGAGACCGAACTGGAAAGCGACCTTGAGAAGAGCAGCGCGACCCTCAGAGCTGCGACCCACGTGATGCTGGAAACCACGTACGATCCGAAAGAAGGTCGGAAAGATTGTATTTGTGTATAATGTCATCATAGAAACGATTCACTTACTGTACGCTGAAAAGTAATATGTTTTTTTCTATAGAAGAAGGAGATCTATATTTGCTGCAGAAAAAAAAAGGTCCAGATGACTATGACATGATTTTCTTGGTCATAACACCTGAGTAAGTCTTTGTCATAGGTCATCGAAAATAACAGTAACAACTATAACAGCAACAACAACAACAACAACAACAACAACAACAACAACAACAACAACAACAACAACAACAACAACAACAACAACAACAGCAATAACAACAACAGCAATAACATCAATAACAACTATAATAATAATAACAATTATTATTATTTTTATTATTATTATTATTATTATTATTATTATCATTATTGTACAATCTTGCTAATCGAGTGATAAATGTTACCTCTAATTTTTAGAGAAATCAAGGAAAGAGATTCTCTGAATGGGAAAATAAATTACCGTTGGGCGACCAATACTGTCCTATCCTGCGTTTTAGGAAGAAGTATACCGACGACGATCGATATTACTTTCGATACGATGCGAAAAGATCGTGCTTCGAGAACCTATTTGGCGGAGCTTGAAGACGCTAAGGTAACCCTGGCTAACCATTTTGTTTTTCATGCGATATTCAAAGTTACGATGAAAGATAGCTGATATCGTGTAATCTATATGCTTTAGAAAATCGCCCAAACCCTAAACGAGATGATAAGGACTCAGCCAATTATGCTCAAGATTTTCAAGTGCATGAAATGCTCAACTCACTTTTCTCAAGATAGTGATAGCAATGCAGTGACTATTCAGACTGGTAAGATTATGGACAGTTTTCTTTCTCATCGATTATCAAAGCCATTGAATGTGATCTTATTTTTGGAGCTTTAAAAGTAATATTTACACAGTTGGTGCAATGCTCAAATGCCCGACCTGCAAAAGTACACTAGTTATCCAAACGGATGATCTGCTGACACCGATTTTGGAGCCCCCAGTGAAAATTGAAAAAGCAAATGTTGAATCTCAAGAGGAGGTTCCGACAGAGCCACAACTGTTCCACTCTAGTTCACAATCCAGTATCGGTGAGTGACTTGAGGTATTTTTAGCAACGACAACTCTTTTTGTACAAACAGAAACTAACAGAATGATCGATCGGTTCATTTCATTGATACGTTATTTAATTATTTGCAAATAATGATTATATAATTACAAGCATGAGTTTAATTTTTTAAATCTTATAAGAGATGTAGAATCAGCGGCTACGGTAGCACAGTAGTTTGGGCTGTGGTTTTTGTAACTTGGAGGCTTGGCTGGCTTGGTAACATTGGCTTACGAGTTCGAGACTCAGCCTTTACTAACTTGGCTCGCACCTTTGGAAAACTAATTTCTCATGTGCATATTTTCAAACGTGGTCCGATTGCTTGAAAGCCATGTATAATAAGGTCCCTATTACTGTGTAAGTGATTCATCACATTAAACCTGAGGTGGTTTTGTTTGGTATGCCGATGGTAATATAGCACACACATGCATAGGGGTTATAACGTATAACACAGCAATGTCGAGCCAAATAGGACCTGTGTGTGTATGATGACTTCAAATAGCTGTAAAACATAGAAAAAGGAAAGAAAAAAATAATTTTGATTTGTTTATCTACAGTAACGTGATAACCCAGGCTATTCGAATTGTTAAGCGACTAGTAGCGCCGCCCTGAGGGTTCGATTTGGAACTATATGTTTCCCCAAAGTATGCGTTCAACTCGTCGCGGTAGCAACGACGTAGAAAATGAGTTTCTTGGAGACCTGTAAAATACAAACGGATTTCATTATGAATGTTTCATTTTTTATTGCACATTTTACTGATAAAACAATTTTACTTTTTAAATATACTTGGAATATGTTTTGGCTTCTTTTGTTGGAGATTCAGAGACGGAACAGCAGTTCTTTTTAGAAATTTTCCATGTTTTGTTATAGCTACAAATAAAAATTTACATGTGCTTTCAAGTAACTTAAACTATTTACATAAAAATTTTCGATTTTATTTCAAATTTAGTGGAATCAACGAACCTGAAAAATAATCATCTTCTCTAAAATGTGTACTGCAAATGACAGTTTTTTTGGTGTCTGAGGTTAGATTACGGGCTTCAATCCATAATTGCCGAGCTTTTTCGGTTCGAGGCAATGTGTGAAACCTTAGCCCATCTGAGGATGATTTATTTGGGCAAGCAGGCACAGCACATTGTAATATATTGTTTTTGAATTTCATTTTTAAGAATTTTCGCCAATAAATATGATTAAAAAAATAAAAACTCATCAGTACTAAGACGACGATTTGAACGCATACTTTGGGGAAACATATAGTTCCAAATCGAACCCTCAGGGTGGCGCTACTAGTCGCTTAACACTTCGAATTACATACTTGCTTTTTACTCACATAAAGAAAAAAAAATGTTAAATCCTTTGTCCGACTATAAATTTGTGCAACTATCAATGAAAAACTAATATAACCGGTACATGTGGAACAGTGCGTGAAGTTATAAGAAATGCCTCTTCTTTGATGCACTGCAATTATCTTTTCCAAGGTCAAGTCTGCTGATTAACATGTTATAATCTATTTAAGAGAAAGAAGAGAATAGCAACAGACCAACTGTAAGAATGTACAAGTGCAATATAGAATAAAATAAATAAAGATATTCATTTAATAATATAAATAAGAAAGGCACACACAAGTCATAAAGCTTTTACAATGAAAGAGAGCTCACACAGGCTCAAGGTTCGCCACGCTAAACGTACCGCACGGGAGTCAAGCAGTGAGATTTCAAACTTCTGACGACAAGCCGCCGTATGTTGACCCTCTATCTCTTCCCTCTATTCGACTACTTCGCTGGCGATACATAAGATGATTAGAAATAAGTAGAATACATGGCGCTTCTAATATTGGTTTTTTGCACTAAAACAAAACACTTATTATATGCTGAGCCGATACACGGCATTCTCATGAGAGATATGTTTATTATTTACTGTAATATGTTTTTTTCTATAGAAGAAGGAGATCTATATTTGCTGCAGAAAAAAAAAAGTATATTTTATTATAGTAAAAAATTCTTAATTAGTATTGAAAGATAATGCTGGAAACGGAATTGATTCCTAACAGTATGATGTGAAATGTTATTTACTATTTTACATTGACCGCCACTGACATGTGCTATAAATGGCGGCTATCCGCCGCACTGTTCCTTGACCCACTGTAGGGCAGCTTGAGCCAACCCGACGACAAAAAATCACTAAACTATAGGCATGATTCCGATATTTCCGATTCTTGTGGCGCCTGATATTTCTGTCTTTTACTATCCAATAACCAAAAATATCCATATATAGCTTAGCGCCACAGAAATCGGAATCATCCCTGTGTACGCATTAGTCCTGAATATGGCAGAGCCAATCAGGATAAGCTCTCTCATCTGCCATACACTGCCTCTTGATCCTCTGTGTAGAATAACCAAAACACCTTGAAAAAAAAAAAAAAAATAACCCCTAGATGCGATGCATCTAGTTAGCTTAAAAAAATTTATTGTACAACGTTATACGCTTTTCGCTAGTGCTGGTGCTGATCATCACATCAAAAATTGTGATTCACAAATCACAATTTATTAATTTACTTTAGTGTAAGTTACTTCTCATACACACTTTTACACAGGTAGTAAGTTAATTATTTACAGAATCTACATCAATTAGATACTGCACTTTGGCTTTATGTCGTATTCATATATTGTATGTTTATTTGTGTTCATAATTTATTTTTCATCCTAGCTTCGAGCCAACAAGCAAATGATTGTTTAGCATACACAGGTGGAGTATATATATTAAATACATCATCGGATACCATTTAAATATAAAACTTATCAATGAATCACTTTAGCTATTGTCAAATTAGAGGTGTAATGTATACTGTGTAAAACATATGCGTGCATGTACTATTTATTTCTAGCTTATCATATATCTTTGTTTCGACACTTGTTCTTAACTCTGTCAAGTAGTTTTGTATTTTGTTGAGCTTTTAAATATCTTGCTAATGAATTACAGGTACTATCCTTTTGATACTTACAGAATTTTATAAAATAATTGTAACTAAACAAGATAATTATTCTAGTTGTCACAATGTCAAAGTTGTCAGAGAGTAAAAAAATCACAAGGCTGGCTGGCATGCAAGAGATCTCCGAACTAGCTAAGCTCTTAAGGAACAGTGGAGACAAAGTTTTAAGTGCCTCTAGCAAATTATCCCTCTCGACGAAACTGCTTCATGACTTGAATGAAGCGTTTTCAATGATCATCAATGAGACGGATGACTTAGAATGTTCATTCCAAGTGTCTAACAGCTCGCGGAGTGAGGTACGACTGTTTTTGTGCTTATTAACTCTTCAGTTAATATGCATAAATAACTATTTGGTCATATATTTTTGATAGTTGTATTTTTTGTAATTATTTTCATAGATTTTTAGAGATATCAAATTTCTACATGACTTGGTGCAAAAAACGATTGGTCTCAAAATTCAGCACAATCCCATTGATCCCAAATTTGTCGTTGACATTACGAAATTTAGGCATTTAAAGTATCTGGAGTTGCAAAAAATATCTATCAACTCAGTTAAAGGAATTCAAGGAATCAGAAGTCAGTTGGAATGTATTGTCTGCTCTGGTGGACAAAGTGTCAATAATCTTCATGAGTTATTAGGTATGTCAAAAAAATCATGAAACGTTGCTTCTCAAACTATTACGTCAGTTTGCTCGTGTCAAAGTATTTATCATGCTACTCATTCAGTTTCCTGTGGAAGTGATGGAGGAGTAGGCTTTGTCTGGAGCTCCCTTCATCGTTTAGCACTACCTTATAATGCTCTAACAAACTTAGACAAGTCCTTGGAAAACGTTCCATTCTTAGAAACCATTGATCTGAGTCACAATCTCATTACTAGAGCCACCAATTTTGAATTGATACCTAATCTCAAACATGTCAACCTTGGTTACAACTATCTAGAACATGTGCCTCTGTTCAGCAAAACCTCGATACGTACTCTGCAAAAGCTTGTATTAAAAAATAATTACATAGATAACATAGATGGTTTGTAGCGTTCCTTTTTTTTTTTTTTTTTTTTTTTTTTTTTTTTTTTTTTTTTTTTTTTTTTTTTTT